CTATATGCTACATTTTGGAAAGTTAGGGACTAAAGTGATATAAGTGATAATTCAATTATATTTGGGTTAAATATTGGATTTCAACACAGCAAAAATAAGTATGTTAATGTTATACTCGTTGGATAGCTCGTAATAAATTATGCATTTTAGGCTCGAGAAAATAGTAATTCGGATAAGTTAAAATCAAGATATTACAGTTTATAGAAATTGTTAGTAATTTGATTATGCCTCAAATAAAATATTAAATTGCAAGGGGTGGCCACATGTGGGGTGTTGGAAAAGTGGTGGTTTTGATTTGGTAGTTTTGTTTTAAAATGATTTATTTACTTTGATTTTGGGATATGAATGGGACAGGTTGCCTCGTGTCGGTTAGATAGGGAAGAAGAAATTGTTGATTGAATAGAATATTGGAATTGAGAATTTTTCCAAACCCAAACCCTATCCATATTCTTGTGGTACACGTCTCCAACTCTTAACCTACCCCCCCACCCCACCAAATGCTGCTAGAATCGGGATACTAGGATAGGATTTTTATTATATATATATATTGGGTGAAAACACACGCACAGTATACACGTTTGGGAGAGAGAAGAGAGAGGGGGTGTGTGCTGTTTTTTATTTTTGCACGCAATCAAGAATAATTCTTCACACGTAGATAGAGGGCCAGGGTAGGCTATTTTTATTATGTCTCACACACTCAAGATTTGGACGAGTTTTGAAACGTTCATTCTTAATTTCTGTGAAAAGTTATTTCATCTGACGAGGTAGGATTACTAGGTGCAAGTGATTTGTCCTGTTTAAATTATTTCTTTAAGTTGATAAATATTATGCTTATGAAAGTTATGATATGATATGGTTATGATATGATATGAAATGGCCATCCGGTACCAAAGATATGACATATTATGAGCTCTTATCGGTTTCCAAAGACATGATACGACGGTATGATATTTTTGATGCATGATTTAATATTTTATTAGGGATTGCACCATTAATCGTGTCCTACTGAGTATTTTTATATGCGCACCCCTACTCATTACAAGTTTGTCCGGAACGAATGGAATTGTGGTGAAATAGTGATGCGGGCTGCCAAGCGGATCAAAGAAAAAGGCAAATAACCATTTAATATTTTTTTATGTTTCTAAATTTAATTGTCAAAGACTCGTTTGTAAATTAATCATTTGAGTATGTTTGAAATTTTTAGGAACCTGGATATTGTGTTTAATTGATATTTATTGTTAAAAATAAAGAATGCCTTCAATTTCTTTCTTTCCACTGTAAAGAAAAGGAAAAATAGATTTTCGTAACACTCCAGATTGATGAAAATTTGGGGCGTTACATGTTGAGACTAGTTTTTTACATGGAAAAGGATCGAACTCGACGATGGTATTTGAATCAAATTGTATCCCTTTTGAGTTAACTTTTCAACGCATCTTTAATCGCCTCAATCGGACATCGGGAGAGGAAGTTATGATGAAAATACTAAAGATGATGTAGAATTTGAAACAGCAACGCAGTGCCCAGGCGTTGGACAGAACCAAAAGACTAGATTTTCATTGACTAGGCGCTGCTCCCATGGCGCCTAGGTACTGCGCCATGCAAACTTAGGTTTTTTTTAATGTTTGGGCTACGCGAAGCCTTGAAAAAGACTCCAAAAAATTCCAGAACTCCTGATTCCTCATCATTCTTCATTATACACCATTCTATCATAACTTTTGGCTCAAGAACTTAGTGAAGAACTAATAAACATTGGTGA